AAAAAGCCTTATCTTCTCCAAACTCTCCTTTCCCCCTCCCTTTCCTTCCTTTTGTCATTTTAAAAGCCCAGTAAGACTCAGGCAGCTGGCAACCTTCAGGTCACTTGGATGCCATTGCTGTTTCAAAATTATCTTCTTGATCTGAGCAAGATTATTTTTTTTATCCCTTGGAACAGAATCTGGTCCTTTTCAATTTCATCTGTTAATGCAGACTCTTCCTTCTATCTTGGAGTCTGTAATAGCATTAATTGGGGCCAAGCACATGCAGCTAGCTTGGGTACGGCATAGGTGACACTGCGGGTGCAGAGAGATGTGGAAGACTGGTGGAGATGTAATGTGCTTGTTATTTAAGGCTCACTAATAATCACAGTAGTTATGTCTTGGTTGCCAGTTTTTAGATTTGTGTGTTGAAATATCTTGAACGAAATGTTAGTGAGAGCAATTCTGCAGCATCCTGCTGACTTGAATTCAAGGTGCTGCCTCGTTTGCCATCTGCCTGCAAGCTCACAGTAGTAATTATAGCGAGTCTCGCAAGTGCTGGAACAAGAGGTATGTCAAATGCATTTTCCCTCTCTTTGAAGGTAATTTTAATTTTCTCAACTCATTTGAAACTACATACGATTATAAGCTGCAGGTGTGAGAGCCACACAGAAGCAGACAGACATGTGTACACACCCATGAAGCAAGATATCATCTCCTAGAGTGTCCAGAAGAGTTTATGTACTTATCTCAGCACTTTTAAATTAAATGCAGTGCTGGAGAATTTTCCTTTCTTATTACTACTCCTATCCTTGTGCATAGAATCTTAACATCTCTTATTAGTGTGACAATATAAAAACCAAAAAAGCATTCTTGATTTTACTGAGCATCGCTGAAATAACATGTACTGGAATAGCAACACACAAAAAACCTGCTGAAAGTGAAAGTTAGTTGCAGTTTGTTGAAACTTCCATGAGTAGTGGTTTATGGACAGCCATAGTGAGGATAAGCAGGGTGCAAATGTAAAATTGGCACTATTGCCAAATTCATTTGGTGCTTGAATTTTGCTTAGAGTTGGGGTCCTGGAACTGCCTTTTGTTTGGAAGGTGATTAAAGACACAGTGCATTTGAGCATTGGTCACATGGGAGGAGGGGGAGGTTTGATTCTGGTATGGTGCATGGGAGCGAGGTGGAACTAGGGATCTGGTCCAGTTCTTCAGGAATCTGCACCTTCATGTGAGAGTATACAGGGAACCATCTTTCAGAGCTGTGCCTGGAATTCATTTTGAAGCAGTGGAAGAGTAAGCAGGCAGAGGGATCTCTTGTCATGACATACCTTCTATACTGATCCACCAAGAAAACTGGGGTAGGAGAAAAGAATGAGTAGAAATTTGCTTTTCCTGGATTTCCTTGCAGGACCTGCTTGCTTACTGTCACCCACTGAAGGTAACAGCATTCATAATCCAAATGCACATTCTCCTAAAGGTGCCTCTTGTGACTGTCTGAACTATTTCCCACTTTGCTTATCCTCATGAGATTGGAAAGATAAGGTCTGTATAGGGAAAGAGCAACTGAAGCTGATGGGCTCAGTGAGGAAGACTTACACAACATCCAGGCCATGAATAGATTTTAAGGAATATCAAGAAGGGTTCTTAGGAGATTATGAGCACCAGGTCTCTCTCAACCTACTTAAACAGGACATTCATGCATGTCCTGAAGTAATGCCTCTACATTTGTACTTGCAGGTTCAAGAATCAGGCATTCTCAGTGCCTTTGTGTCTGGGGTTTATATTTTTAGAATCACAGAACAACCTTAGTTTTATGTCAAAGGCAAGAGCAGATTTAAGCTTTCATCATTATATGCTTTAACTGAAAGCACCATTTTAATGTCATCTTTCTTGTCCAAGATTTAAACTAATTCTGGGCCAGTGGCATATGCTGTACTTTTCAGACAAGAATTTCTATAAGCATCTGGACCAATGTTTCCTATGGATTTGTGTTTCATGGTAACTCATGAGCTCTGAATAGCAACATCTCCATGTCTAGGGTATGTACCCTCTTCTTTTCTCACCTTATTCTATAGCCTCAGTCAGTACACTCTCAGGTGGCTAATGCAGGCTGAGCTGATTCAGTTCCCCAAACTGAAGGAGTCCATCATTCTGTCAGAGGCAGCTGAAATTACCTGATAGGGTCAAAAGTTATTGAAGAACATATATAAAGTGTGATCACATAAGTCACGTTTCCATAGGAACCGGCTAAAAATACATCTGTATGAACACTCAGTGCCTATCGTGATGAACTATTATATAAGTAGGATTTTTTTCCTCAGCAAGAACACTGCAGATGCTTGTTAATAATTTGTGGTAGAATTTACAGACAAGTTTACAAGTCTTCATGTGTGCAATCGGCTGTGTGCTTATTACATTGTCTGTCTTCGCTCCTGCTGACTAAAACAGGAAATTAACAGAGCATCTTTTCTCAAGGCTTAAAAACATCCAGAAGATTAAAAATAGCCTGAGGCTTAAAAACCTCCTCACTTGGTAAGACAAACAGAGTTCTGTACTAACAGTTGTCTAAATGTGAGTGTTGTAATTTAAGTACAGTATGTGAAAGGTGGAGAGGAAGGCTTGGAGGCCTGTACCTCATGGAAAGTGTGCCATATTCCACCATGGCAATGTGTGAATATTTACTATTTGCAAGTAATGAATCTCTGCAGAGCAGGAAATTGTCACCAAATAAATCATTCGCATTATAAATACATTTGTACCTTGTGATAAATGTTAGGATCCAGATTTTTACGGTGAGGTGATTTAGGTTGGATGAGATGAGACAGAGGAGGTATTTTTACCATGTGGTGATGTATGTTGTAACATCATGCATCCAAGTTGAATTTCTGTGCTTGCCTTTGTCTTTGTTTTCAGAAGCCACTTAGAAATTTCCTATTGTGCCAGTTAAAACATGGGACTAGATGATGGTTAGAAAACAAACACCAAAAATATCTGGCTTGAAGAATTGCATAGAAGTGTCCACCACTGGACTTCTCAAAATCATTCTGTAGCCTGTTATAATAATTTTTCTCAAGTTCCAGAATGTATTTGCTGATTCTCTGGAAGTAATTTTCATCCTGTTCTGATCTTCTATTTTATTTTCCTTCAAAATCACATTAGGGTTAAACAATAAAGCTTAGTATCAGAAGTCTGTTTTGGTTTTTTTTTCTTTTTTTTTTTTGTTAAATTTTTAACTATAAGAAAAGCTAAGACTGTATATGCAATAATAAAATTTAAGAAGTGTGCATAATGTTGTACCATGCATATTGCTCCAAAAAGGGAGGAGGAAAGAGTCCATATGTCCTCTGAGCCTCAGAAAATAGCATGCCACTGGACAAATTCTGACTTGTGATTATTAGCAAATGATGAATAACTTACAGACCTGGAGTTAATCATCAAATGTATTATTTAAACTAAAAATGAATTGAAGAATTCAACGTTCTGTCTGTGAACAATTCATTGATAGAAAAGAAAAAAGGGTGAAATTAATCAAATAAATAATTCATTGTAAATCATTTGGTTCTAATTATAACAAGATGCTAAAAAATAGATCAGCTTCTCAAAGCATGGCAGAATTCTGCTACGCATACATATCACCACAAATGCAGCTGTCAAAGTATAATCCCTGTTTTAATTGCTTTTGGTTCAGGACAATAGTCAGGTACAGGAGTGGTAACAAAAGTGTTGACCTACCCCATTTATTAAAAGCTATTTTGTTTGCTTGCTTGCATGACAGAGCATCCTGAGCTAGTGCTTCTGCAATGTGAAAAAGACTGGCCTGGCCTTCCCAAATTCTCAAAGCAAAAGCCTGCATAAAATTGAGGTTTTATGACCTTTTCTTTAAGGTCTGATTCCGAGCTCAGAGGTCTGTACCTCTCTTTTCTGAGGGGCTGGTTAATAAAACTGTGAAGAGCAGGCTTTTCCTGGCTCCCTTTTTGTCCCTCATGAAGAAGCCCTAGTTGTTGCTCCTGCAGGACATTGGCTGGCTCTGCAGAAAGGATCCCTTCTCTGGCTGATGCAGGAATTTTGCCAGAAACATTGCTCAGCAACCCAGGCACTGCTGAATTTTAGATGGAAGATGAGGGAAAGGCATCACAGAAATAAATTAGACCTGGATGAACATGTTTGTTCTGAAGCCTCCAGAACCTTCTATCACCAGGCATTTCAGCTTCCTCAAGTCTTTGATAGCTGAGAGCTGGGTTTAGCAGGCCATACTAGTTCCACTGTGCTTCTGCCAGTGGGTTGGATCAGATGACCCTGGAGGTTCTTTCCAACATGGTATTCCATTCTGTGATTCACTCCCTCATCCAACTGAGCGACCTGCAGCATTAAAAAGACTGTACCAGTGAATAGGCAGTAGTCAACATTTGTACTATATATTTTTTTTAAGCTTCCACTTACCTTCCTCCCTATCAGTAGAATCAGGAAGTCTTCTTCCTTGAGGTTTTTGTTGTTGTATTTTCAAAGCAAGTCAGTGTTGGATGGGTTCATTTGCAAGAACTGTGATACCCAGCCAAGGACAAATCCAGCTCCATGCCCTGCTCTCACAGAGGTCTTTGCTCAGTTGCCATCAAAAGAAGGGCAAGCAGTTGCAGTGAGAAGATGAGAGCATTTTTCCTGAGATATCTGTATAGATTTTGAACAAAACAGCATTTATTGCTGTAACAACTTTTAGGGCAGCCTTGGAACAAAGGCAGGAAAGAAATCATGAGTGTGAAAATAGCTGACATGAACTGGAGCATCCACTTAACTAAAAATTGCTTTTTCTAGAAAGCAAAAATGTCCCTATCCTGTCAAAATTGGAGCAATGGTTGGAAATCTGACATGCTTCATGGTTCAGTGGGTTCAGCATTTTTGAATATTTGTGCAGCCTCTTGGATTTGTTGCATCATAAGTTCAGGCAACAGCTGGATGTCTGACCCTGTGACCATGCTGTAAAAGTGTCCAGTTCTTTAGCCATGAGAAATTGCTGAAGATGATGGTTTTCTCTGCAGCCAAATAATAAAGCAGAATGCACCTTGTGTACAGTACCTGTAAGATTATTGAAAAGTAAGGTGGAAAAGCAAGATGAATGTAAAGAGGGTTAAAGTTGCCATTATATCACCCATGCCATATCATATTAGTAAAAAATAAAATCATTAGAATAATACAATCTCCCAAATGTTTTTGCATCAGCATTTTGTCCTCTGAAAGTACATTAGAAGCAGCTTTTGCACTGTCCTTGTAAAATTTGCAGTGACAGAAAATTTCTTACCATTAATATATAATAATTCTTTATTTTTTTCTCCTTCAATTTCAGACCCCTAAATACTACTTGATAACCCCCAATACGCTGGTGATGCTGGGATTTTTCTAATGTTAGCAATTTTGAATATACTCACAATGTTTTTGCCTTAGTGGTATGAAAGCCATCAGCACTGCAGAATAGGAAAAAAAGAGACCAATGCCATGTATTAGACAGACTCAAAACATGACAAAATTCAGATTACCCCATGCTGAATACAAATGTGGTAGATATGTTCAGAAACTGCAATCAAATAGCTTTGAATGTCAAACGAAATTACTTTGGGAGTCTTCTAAGCCCTCTTCTTACAGCACACTGGAACATAAATCCCCTACTTTCATTTGATTAGTCCAAAAGGCTATAGGATATGTTATTAAATCTAGAAAACATGACCAGAGTCTTAGTCATTAGCGTCACTGAACACACGAATTCCTTTAGGTCTTTATTTTTTCTTGCTCTGTATCTTTTGAATAGAGCATGATCAGTGAACTTTTAAAATGAAAGTATACCTGAAACTCACTAACAGTTATAAATAATTTATTTTTTAAAGAAAATGCTTTGGGAGGTTTTATCTGCTCAATTTGTGTGTCACAGCAAAATACATACATATTATATTATTAGTGAACATTAGAAACTGTGGATAAAGCTATTTTGTTCCTTGTAGATGATAAGAATCTTTGGTTGACAAACTTCCCTGCAGTACAGGGGAGCTATAATCAGCTTTGGCAACAAAGCTTTGAAGTAATTAAGTCACGGAAGTCTGCACTTAATGAATAGTTGCAACACTGTGCACATTTTTCTTTTTTTAAACCTAGGAAAATGATAACAGCGAGTGAAGACAACTGTGCAAAAAACATTGCTATAAACAGTAATAACAAGACCTCCAATCCCAGAAAACACCTTAGTTTAAGAAAGGATTTATGCTTGTATCTTAGTTGTACTAAATTTAAGGATGAGTTTAGAGCTAAGCATGTAAAATGCTCTCTTTGCAGACCCTTGAGTCTGCAAGAAATCTCTGCTTTCCTCTCATGGCTTCTTTTTGAAAGAGGTTTAAGTGATCATTATCATGACTGATGGGACCATGTGGCACAGTATCTTGCACTGGGCAGACATACAGGATAGGCCAACTATGGAAGTACAGGGCAAGTATTTAGTCCTCCTTGCTGTTAAACTCTTCCAGCCTCTAGTGGTTTGAGGTCCTCAGCTTGGCAGGAGATCTTGATGTTTAAGAGCCTTTGATGGATTTATTCATTAATTTATTTATCTCTCCATGAATTTTTTGCTGAGCAGTTTTTTACAGATGTGCATTTTTAGCACTCTACATGTTAAGAAAGTCTACAGCTGAACTATGTGTTTTTTGTATTGAAGGTGCACTCTGAAAACTTTGTTTGATACCTACTAGTTCTTGTACTGGAAAAAAAAAAGAGTAATTGTTTCCTGTTGTATTTAAACCTTTTGTAATTTTTCCAATGCCTCTTAATCTCTGTCTTCATGATCTCTGTTTTTTCCAACTGAGGAATCACAATGTTGTTCCTTGTTTGGAAGCTGCGCCAAAAGTTGCACCTTTATTATGTTTCTTTGTGTCTCTTCTAGCTCAACTGATGTTTTTCTGAGATGAGTGGCTTGAAATAAGATGTGGGCGTGATGTTCTAGTGATGGGAGTCCCTTTAACTTCTTGGCTAAACCAATAGTTTGAATGACATACAGAATAACAATAATTGATTACAAAATGGAAAAACTGCTCTGTGTGATGGAAAAAGGGGGAAGCTATCCTGTTAGATCACATATTGCCTCATGATTCTCACCAGGGAAGATGTGATGCCCCTTTTGGTTGCCAAGTCCATGGTGTATCGTCACTGCTAATTTTGCACCTATATGGGATGCAGGTTTTTATCAGCTGATGCTGTGGAAGCAAGTGGCTTGAACATTAGCTTCAGGGTCAAACTCTGCAGTTGTTGGTCATACACACATAAAGGAATGCACCTTCTTGAACAAGTCTTCAGGGCATGTGTTTTATTAACATGCATTCCTAAAGGACCTTCTTAATGATCTACCTCCTAAAGGTCTGTGTGGATGTCTTGCAGAAGTCTGATGTTGTTATAGTAAAGGTGTAATTTCTGTACTGTTTTGCACATGGATTCATTATTGAGGAAGCTTATTTTTGGTTTAACATACTCCATTTACATCTGCATCTTTGTTGAGGCTGTGAATATAACAACAACATTAAGTCATAGATTCTATGGAGTGGTTAAATAAATGTCAGTGATGGGCTCTTTCCACAAATACTTTTTTTTGTGGAAAAATAGTCCATATTTCCAGGAGTGAGAAATTATCTAGTTTCAGAAAAGGATACTATTATTATTCCTAGCTGCAATACAAACACAATATTTTATTCAACACTCTTTTTATGTTTGCAAATAAGTATTAGGATGAAAAGGAAAAATAATAGCACCCAGACACAGGCCTGGTTCTGTCTAAAGATGCTACTGATTCTTTTATTTCAGTTTACTTGTACTCAGAACACAGGTTCTGTTTGTGGGAAAAAAAAAAAAAGATGAAATCAGCACTTTTCCCTCTAACAAAGATTTATGTGTATGTTGCAACTAGGACAACAGATTCTCTCCAATTTTAGAAAAAATTTTGTTTAAAGTTGCAAGTGTGTGTATGGACCTCCTCAATATCTGACGTCTGCTTGATATACAGATACAGATATTTGTTTTGACACTGTGACAGTAGCAGATTTTTTTAACATGTCAGTGCAATAAGATGACCTGAATGACAGAGATTTTGAAATCAAGGATTTTCTGATTTATTTGCAGGCCATCTTCTCTAGTCCAGGCCAATTGCTTCTGAAACTGGTGGTATTTCTGTAAGATGAAATTTTTATTTTAACCTGCTCAGTCCCTTTTCCCTTCCTCTCCTCACTTCAGGCCTTTCAAGTTAGGACTTCATTGTTTCCTGCTATTTATTTACTGATTAGTGAAGGATATTTGGTCTCAAGAAGTCGTACACTCCTAAATACAAGATGACCTTTGTCTTAGTGTCTGAGCCTGTATAAACATGCTATAAAGCCCTCAAGTGCCTACTCCTTTCCGAGCATGCTAGATGTGCTTCCATGTGACACAGCTTCGATACCATTATGTCCAATCATGGGCCAAATGATTTTCCAGTCCTTACATCAATTTTTGCCCTGAAGGGCGTACACAATGCCATGCAAAGCCACAAAATAGAAAAGGATTTTTCACAGCTAACCCAACTATGTTATGACCACAAGATGCAGCATTTCCTATATGTTTTCTATGTAAACTTGTCTGTTTTATGTCATTCTTCCTGTGCTTTCAGTAAGTTGTAACCTGGTGGTGTTCTCTATAAATCAATATGAATAATTTCAATTTTTTACCTTGTCTCCAAGTTCCTGGCATTGTTTATTTCTCCTGATTTTGCTTGGCAGTTTCAGGAATTCCATCCAAAATGGAATCCTCTTTTTTTTTTGCTCTCTGTAACCTTTAATGTTTTGCACTGCTCCTGTAGTCATGAACACGTAATGCATAGTTTCCCCCTGCTTACAGATTTTTTTATTTTTCAAAAAATATTTTCTTACTAGAATCTGTTTTAAACAGCAAAGAAGACCTGAATAAGATCATGGCAAAAAGACAAACAGAGAAATGTCAGAGATAAGTACAGCTCTGGAAAAATTCTAGAAGCAAAGTTAGGTGTCAAGGTAATTTGTGATGTCGGGGAGAAAATATATTATCTTATACGTCAGTTTGGAATTATATTATTATTAGAGGATAATTCTGCTTAGAACTTGAGTCTTGGATGCTTTTTTATTTACCTTTAGTGTTCTGCAGCATCTTGGTGCTCCAGAGTTCAGGCTAAGTCTTGAAGAGAGTCTCACGAGGTATAGGTATTTTTGGGTCTCGACGCAGAGATAGTTCAGACAGTCTAGAAAGTTTGAGTCTTTGTTGAACTGTTTGGATGGAAACAATCTTTCCAAACTGTGTAATGCTTTTTCCCTTTGCTTTGTTTAGTTTGCAAGTTCTTTGAGGCCAGTCTACATGAGTTTGTGTAGCAAGTGGTACAGAGGGCTGTAGTGTCAGTTGAGTTCCTACTTCAGCAATTAATGATTAATCTCACTATTTCTTCACAACAATGATTAAAATGCACTATCAAACTGGTGCCCTATAACAGACATATGAATCTCTTTACTAAATTCTTCCAGCTGTGTATTGTGATTACAAGAAAAATAGGGCTTCTAGTTTACATTATTTTTTTGACAGACCTAAGACAAAATTGCCCACTTCTGGGCATTTTTTCAAACCACAGTGTTTGCCGATTCCTAAAAAGGAAAGCAGGAAAGGAGTATTTAAGAAGCTATTTTACATGTGGCTGCAGTTTGCTGCCTCTGTTCTTCCTCCTTTTGCAACCTCTACTCCTGCTTAGCCATTCCTTCCAATGCTCTGGTGGTGCAGCATTTTCATGGGACTTCTGTGGATGTAGCAATGAAGGTGTGTGGTCATGGTAGTTCTGTGTGCCCAGGTGCCATCAGGTCATGGTGCAGAGAATATGGAAGGATGATGTGCTTGCTTAAATATGCTTACTGAGGATTTGATTAATGTAAACTTTTCTGTCTCTGTTCAGTACTAGTGAGCCCATATCTGGAGAAGGATGCACTCCTGGACTCCCTGGTGCAAGAGAGACATGGTCAGAATAAGGTCAGTGAAAGACCATAAAGATGATTAAGAAGTTGAGGCATCCTTTATAAATGAAGAATCTGGGAGAGCTGGGGTTGTTCAGTCTTGGAAGACAAGATTTAGGGGGATCTCTTCAGTATGTGTGTTAATACCTGAGGGGGTAATAAGGGAGAACCAGACTATCTCAATAGTACCTTATGACAGGACAAGAGATAATGGGAACAGGTTGAGTTACAAGAGATTTCATCTAAGCATAACTTTTTCTCTGTGACCACTGGCACAGGTTGCTCAGAGAGGTTGTGGAGTCTCCATCCCTAGAAGTATTCAAAACCAGACTAGACATGGTCCTGGGCATCCTGCTGTAGTTCACCTTGATTGAAAAGGAGGATTGGACTAGATGATCTTCAGAGGTTCCTTCACTCCTCAATAATGATGAGAT